ATCACCTTACTTTAGGCCCACCCATTTTAATTTTTTATTTTTCACCCATTTTAATTTTTTATTTTTCAATAATTTTCCATTTTATGCGGCTTCAAAAAGTATATTCTTTTGTCTTTGTTATAATTTTTATATATTTCATGTATCTAATGAGGCAAAAGAAGTGGGAGCAAATTAAAGACTAAAAATTTGTTCCTTATTATTATTATTATTTTATTTTATTTTTTGTTCCTTTTGCAATATGCAAATTTAAGCGTTGTACAATGTACATTTGTTCCATATTGCACAACTAGTATAACACCCGTGTATTACACGGGTGTTTGTTAAAAAATTATTCTTAAATTTTAAAATTAATGAGAAAACTAAATTAAATTTAGTTAAAAAAAATATATATTACTATATATTTTAGAATGATATGTGTTACTTATGACTTACATATGTTATATTATATTAGTTGTTATAACTTATATCATATAACTACTTGAAATATAAATATATTAGTTGATAAATAATTTTATTTTCTAATTAGTATTAAGAATAATTTTATTATTGTTATAAAAATAAATATAAATTATTTTTTTTATATATACAATATGGATGTTAAATCGAAGCTCATCAAAAGAAGATTAATTTGATATATTACATATGTAAAACTGATAAAAAATACAAAAGTTATTAACTTTTAAAATATATATACAATTAAATAGTTATAATAAGGAATGATATTAAAATACAATTAATACATGTAACATGACCATAAATAATCAACATATTTATGGTAATCCGAACCTAATTATATTTGGTTTGGAATTAAATTAAAATTTATCCAAGCGTAATAACGAAGCATATAATTTTGCCACATAGGATTCTGAAGCACCAGAAGTAGCCACGTAGGCTCAGCGCGTTCTGTATTAATATATAGGGGGATATAGGGGGATGTACAATATGCAAATTCGTTTAGAATTTTGAGTGACATTTCGAGACTTTTGAAATTTTTTAAAGTTTTATATTTAAAAAGAATATGAAATCATAAGTGTGGAAGTGAAATTTTGAGTGGAATTTTGTATATATTTTTTTTTTTTTTTTTGAAATCTCTTTAAATCTTAAAAAGCATTGACAAAACATATAGTCTAGTTAAATGCTTTAGAATTTTGTAAGACTTTTTAAAATCTCATATGAATAACTTGAGACTTATAAAAGTATTAAAAAATTTAAATTAAATATACCAAAATTTCTTAAGTCTTGAAAATTTTCAAATATCTCAAACAAATACCCATAGTAGCTAGTGTCATGATTTGTAAGATATATAAATTTTCTTGAAAGATTTCGTTTTTTTTTTTTTCAAATTTTATTTTCCCCTTTCCGCACTTTTTTTTTTCGGTACAAAGAAGGAGGCCGTAAGCCTAAAAGCTAAACTAAAACTCGCCGGGAATAGGAAACCCCGATGATATCGTGCTCAAGCCAAGCCCCCAAACTTGGGGGAGGAACAACCAACTCATGAAGACCAATCGGGAATGAAGGAAGCTAAGCTCGCCAAATAGTCGGCGGCAAAATTAGCATCTCTATGTACATGGCAAAGGCGAATAGACCACTCGCGCTGAAGCAAGAGACGAATAGCTTGCACCAAGGCCGCATGGGTTCCGGCAACACTACTATGGTCAAGGATCATCTGGACTACGCTCTAGTTATCACCTCCACAACAACTTGACGACAACCCTTTGCTCACGCAAGCAGAAGACCTGAAAAAGGCCCAACAGTTCAGCCCCCGGTGATGGTACATAGACCTATATTCATAATAAAACCCATAGACTAATCACCCATAGCATCCCGAATAAGGCCACCGACACTACTTCCGGACGACGAATCAAAGGCACCGTCGGTATTAACTTTGAACCACCCCAAATCCGACAGGGACCAATAGATCAACCGGGTATCGAAGCGAGGAACATCCGCTCCTGCACGAGTGAAAGCCCGGGACGATTGCGTATAACCCTTTCTGCACATAACCTCGAAACCAAATCAAAATCCTCCTAATTCCCTCTAACAAAATACATACATACACATGAGCCAAAAACCAAAAAAAAAAAAAATGATGAATAAATATATATCTCTAAAAGAGAAAGAAAAAAAAATAACTACAAACATTTTCAGAAGCTATCTACCCTTTTCTTGACATAATAAAACATAATGAATCACCCATAAGAAGTAATTAAGCAACACAAATATTCAAAACTTAAAATCAAGAGGGCCAAAATTAAACCGTCAATCACCAATTCACCACCACATATAAATAAAAATATAATGTATGTATTAAAATTCCATTGAGAAAATCAATTCAATATTCCAAGAGCACATATACATTTATGCATTCATGAAAAAAAAAATAAAAAAATCAAGAACCATCCCCCATTAAAAATTTGTTCATAATATCACCGGTCATCCCCGTCCGGCCCGTCCTTTCCGGTGGCCGCCTTTAGATACCTACTAATGTTGAAATCCGGCGGCATGAAAAGCTTCTGCCTCTCCCACCGGCCTTTATCCGCCCGGTATAGAGACGGGTGGTGATTAATGCTCCAAAAACATTTCGTGCACCGAGACCTAACCGTGAAAGCCCAAAAGAACCCATGGCTGGACCGGCTCACGTAGAGGTAGCACCACCGCATGGGGAAAGCGGCTTGCCGGAAGTTGAACCGGTAAGTCGAGTTTTGGGGGAGTTGGTAGAGGGAATCCGAGTGGTCCGTCATTTGGCACATGAACCAAACGGGCCATCGCCCGTCGTTGGCTAACGTGATCTCGATCTCTGGGAAGAGGCCGAGGTTGTCGGAAAGGGCCGGCTGGGGGAGGACGGCGAGGAGCACGGCCGCCGCCACAGTCACCGCTAGAACGGTGGAGAACGGCGGGGACCGGTGGCTCGTGGGTCCCATGGGGTAGTTTTTTTTGTTGGGGGAGGGGGGTTGGTTTTGATGAATGAGATATTTATAGCATTTTCTATTTTTGTGTTCTTTTGTTGTGTGTGCTTATTGGTTTACAAAATTCAATGGTGGATTGTTTTGGAGAAATGAATAATGAGGGAATATTTTATGTATGGTTGGGATGGAAAAGAAAATAAAGGGCTTAGACTTGTTTCTATTGTGTGTGTGGGCTATTTATGGAGATGACATGCAAAATTGTGATAGATAATGATTTGAGATTAGAAGTTAAAATATACATAAATCACTCACATTTACTTCATGACATACTTATTCTACAAAATTTTATTAAAAAATAACATACTTTAAAATATAATAAAAATATAATATTTAATAATATAATATATATAAAACGGATCGAGTTGAAAACCGTATCCTAAAAAAATCACAAGTAGATAAATGTGTAGGTTTAACTTGTCCTACACCCATTTACTACCAAAAGTATTTTCAATTACACATAGAGAAGTTTTGCATGCCTTAGGCCCATCACAACAATTTACAAAAGGTTCTTGGATGGCTAATTTACATGTGTGCGGTTGTGATTTCAAATTAATTGCACATTTACAAAACAACTTATTTTTAATTAGTGAATTAAATGAAATCTATGGTTTCGAAAAAAAAAAAAGAAAACTTAGTTATTTATATATGTACTATATATTAGACACGGTGCAATTAATTATAATGACTTACCATGGCAAGAATCGTGTAACCGACGGGATTCATGCTTAAAAGAAATGTAATACATGGTAAATAATGAAACTCAATTTTCAGCACTAAATGTCTAGCGGGCTGCACTTCTTGAATTATTCGGCGCCGACGGGATGGGAGAACGACAGTTGGGGATGTTGGCAGGGTTGAATTCATATAAGGTGGGCGACGATTGAGTCTCAGAGTCACAGGCGAGCGGGTCGCCCAACGACGGCATGGAAACGACGCAGCCAGCCACTACTCGTGAAGGGCGGTGACGGATGTTACACTGGCACTTGTGGCGGTGCTTTTTTGTGTATTTTGGATGCGGAAAACACACACACACACACACGAGATTTGATTTTAATTTGTGCTGAAAATTGAATTTTATTCAGTCGTCGAGAAAAAAAAAAACTCAATCTCCAGTCGTGATTGTACGGACTGCAAACCTATGGCCCGGTATGTTGTCACCACTTATCGGCTCCACACGATGTCGTCAATGTCCCGATTTGCCGCTGGCTAGAATTACGAGAAACTCGAGTGTATATTTTATGTATCTTTAATGTATATGTGTGTCTCGATCCGTCGTTGGCTTGAATAACGAGAAACTCGAGTGTATATTTTATGTATTTTTTATGTATACGTGCAAAGATTCCGAGTGTATATTTCTAGAGTTTTGGACGTGAATTTGGGGGTTTTTAATTTGAAGTTGAGGGTGTATATTTAATGAGAATTTTGGATTTCAATGTTTATTTAACGATTATTAATAGTTTATGTTGATATATGAACAAATTTTTTTACTCATGTAACGAGATTTGATAATATAAAAATATTATAAATTACAAATAAGTGAAATATAAACTTAAAAGAGAGAATAGTCTATAATTTTACAATAAAAGTGTATCTTTTAATGAAGATTTATAAATAATACATATGTATAAGGAATTGTGTTTATTGTACAACTAGTATACCGTGTTATATACATTACATAAATACGTTTGGAACAAAACGTATAGTACCACTAGTATGTTTGTTATATACATTGTCGTGTTATATGCCTAAACAATTATAACATATACAAATTATAAATCTGTATCAAACACATAACTACCTATTATAAACATGTATTCCCAAAAAAAAAAATATATATGGGAAAAGATATAAAATAACATAAAATATACATATCATAAACATCTTTCGTAAACAACATAAATAAACAAAAATATTCGCGAATCTCGAATGACGAGGCGGAGCTGGGAAGGAGAGGTGACATCATCAATGGTGTTCATCGGACGTCGGGTTTCTCTAGTTGAATCCTCCCGCCATCGTTAAGAATCTTGTTCAACAATGCTTCCCTCCCTCAAAAAACTGCTTCTCCACACCGCCACAACGAAGGAATCGCCGCCGCCACTGTCACCGCCTCAGCATCTCCTCATCCAATCACCTCCGCCGACGAACAGCTATCTCTGGCCGTTGAAGGGCCAGCGTGCCTCTTTAGTTTGGCGAGGGAGAAGAAGAAGAAGAGGAGGAGGAGAAGGAGGAGGAGGAGGAGGAGGAGGAGTGACGTGAGTGGAAAAAATCTCATTAAATTAGGGAAGTTACAAGTTGCATGTAACTATCTTAATAATTATTTTTAATAAAGGTAAGTTAAATTTAGAAAAAAAATCTAGCATGTATGCAAATATATATGTCCGATTTTG